TCTGTTGTGGCCAAGAATCAGCCGCGAAATTCCGTAGAAAAAATAATAAAAAAAAAAAAGAAAAAATAAATATAGATAAAATACATTGTGTGTGTTCATTACATTCATTATTATGTAGTAATTTCTATTATATATTTATAAATTGTTCACTTTACTTATAGTCACCAAAAATATGTAGTGAGCTTATAGGTCATGATCACATCAAATTTTGTCATTAAAAATATCAATAATTGGTTGCTAAGGAATCAGAGAATTGAGCGCAGAATAGCCTGATAAATGGGAGCAAACTGAGCAGTACAGGTGTATTCGACATGCACGCAATCGCATACACCGTTGAGGTGCGTACAAAGAACATGGCTAAGAGTTGCGGGATTGTCTTTTCTATTCTATATGTAGATATAGCAGTACTATATATTTTAAATAAGTTATAACCGTATTTTTTAATACTTACCTACAATTAAGAAATCTTAATAAAATTTGGTTGAAAAATTGATCCTCTCGATAACTTGATTTATGAGGACATGTGTTGATAGTCCAGACAAACGATTTTATAATAACAAATTACAATACAGTATGACTCACAATAGTTAGTGTTAGACATTAGACTATTTACCAGGCACAAGTAGTGTAACTCTCGCAGTGCGCGGCGGGTGTGCGGACAGTTGGCAGTCGTAGTGGGCTGCGTCCGATGGCCTCACCTCTTTAATCTCTAATCTCCATATGTCTGGTGGAATAAAGCGAGCAGAGTACCTGCAAAGAACAGTGAAATGGTAAATATTTGAAAATGTGTTAATAATTACATTAGTTATTTATATAATACAAGTAATAACTTATAATAAAAATGTTACTATTAAATCATAAAATACCATTGAAAATATCAGTTTATTTTTGGTGCCTTAGGTTATTACAGTACTTAGGTTTAGTTTTGTAAAGGTATATAAAACAATATTTGATGATGCTTGAATTTATTTCAAAATATATTAGATTGCGAGAGAAATAAATTATGTATATTATTTTTACCTTTCGCTATTAGTCAATTAAAATAATGAATTCAAGAAGGTAATCTTCTAATTTTAATATATATTTCAATTTGTCTAATATGAAGAAGCAAGGCGCCATTGGGGGGAAAGGGATTATTAGTAATGGAGACTGAGAATCCCATTGCTAGCAATATACCCAACCAGGTCGACCTCCTCGCGGTTCCTCCTGGAAACTATCATGGTTAATTTCTGATGAATTCATCATGATGGGCTAACTGGCCTGTTTTCATTCTCATCTATCACCCTTCACTGGTGCTCCGCCAGCGTATCCCATTAGCGCAGCCGGAGTTACCGTTACCTTACCATTTTCACCCATAAAAAGAACAAGGCACCATTTTATACTATAACAAGTATTTGACTGTTAAGTACGAGTATATAAATATAAGAAGTAAAAAAGAAAGTTTAAGTTGATAAATTGGAATAAAAAGAAAACATATAAAGGAACGCAGACTAAATGTAACACGTCTCGGGTGGATGTCAAACAAAACAAACCGTTTTTCACTAAAACTGGTCAATGTTGTTTATATGCACTTTAGTTTAAGAACATGGATGTTCACTGTAACTCTTGGCAGTAAAAAGTTAATGGTGAACATGAAAAATCTTTCTTATTGCTAACATCTAAAGAATAAAATTGTCTACGAGTCGACGGAGCGTAAGTATTTTCTGGGTAAGCGCACAATCTCAGATCTTATCGTCGCTTACTATCAGGTGAGGCAGGATCAAGCGCAAACTCATCTTAAAATAAAAAGAGGGAAACAGGATATGAAATATCTGTTCCTAAAGCAGTGTCTTGGACTTGTTTATAGATCTGATTTACAAAAATTATGTTTGTGAAGCCTATTGCAAATGTTTGTAACTTTGTACAAATACCTATTTTGTTCGTATTATGTGTTTTAGGGTATCTAAAACAGACATAAAGGAGACATTGTACAAAAGTCGTTTGCTTGGACACCTCTGTCCCATTCGTGTTTCTACCGTGAAGCAGTTGTTGCATAGCTGTGTTTCCGTTTGAAGCATGGGATATGGCAGTGAATTTACAGGGTACAGAGGAATAACACCTGAGTCCTAAGGAATGGCAACGCATTGGGGGTTACATGGGCAAAACAGTGTACTCTGTTATGTCCATGGTACGGCTCATGTCTATAGGTGATGGTTACCACTTTCCATCAGGTGGACCGTCAGCTTGCTCGCCATTTTTAGTTGCATAAAAAAAGGTAGCCAATAAAATGGCATAACTAACTTTTGGTGTTGCTATAAAATCTGCCGATCTCTCGGCCATTAAGTTCCCTTAGTCATCTCTAAATGTGTGTAAATGTATATACAAAAATATACCTTTCTTTTACTTTCTATTAGATGGGTCGTAAGTTTGTATACCATTTTAAGTGTCATAAAAAGAAACATCTGGGAGAATTCTATTATCAGATTGACATTAAATATTTATAAATATTTCCTAACGTTTTGGAAACCTTCATTAGCGAAATCTAAACGTAAGTGAATGATAATTAAAAATATATACAATACCGATCGTCAGCTGTGTACTGCTGAGTGCCAGTGGTCAGTAAATCCATAGGTTCCTCGTCGTTTTTTCGTCTCACCCATGATACCTATAGAAAACAGCTGCATTCATTGAAATTGTCAATTATTATTACTATCCTCATCATCATATGAACCTTTTACAGTCCACTGCTGAACATAAGCCTCCCTCTTGGGGGTTTTTTTCAGTAGTTGCCACATTTGGCAAACGGATTGGTTACCACAGTCAGGCTTTAGAGATGTTATAAAAGGGACACTGTTGCCCATCCCTCACCCTGTCTTAGTCGGCTCTTACGACACCCACGGGTTAGGAAGAGGTGCCCTATTCTATGCCAGGACCACACGGCTATTATTATATATTAATGCTATACAGTTGTTAACTGTCCATTGCTGAACATAGGCCTCTTCCATAATGTGGGAGGGAGAAGGAGACTTTGTACAAGAGTCGTTTGCTTGGGTACCTCTGTTCCATTTGTGTTTCAACCGTAAAGCAGTTGTGTTTGCATGACTGTGTTTCGGTTTGAAGGTTGGGATATGGCGTGAATTTACAGGGTACAGAGGAATAACATCCGAGTCCTCAGGAATGGCAACGCATGGAGGGTATCATGGGCGTAACAGTATAGTCTGTTATGTCCATGGTACTGCTCATATCTACAGGCGACGGTTACCACTTTCCATCAGGTGGGCTATCAGCTTATTTAGCATTCTAAGTTGTATAAAAAAAAGTGGGTTTTGCCAATAATTGCCACGCTGTGGTGTTTTAAAAGGAACGCTGCTACCCATTCCCCGACCGTTAAGGAAATGAAAGAGTCTATTTAATTATCTTTTATTATTTATTAAGATAATATTAGGTAAATTATATAAATAGTTCATTTTTGACAGTACAGATTAAGAATATTATAGGATCAACTCTGAAGTAGCTACAATTTCTGAAACTTATCTAAAAAATTAAGAATTTTAACTAAATTAAAGTTTTTTTATAACGCAAAGATAGTAAAAATTTAGTTTATACTGGTATAAACAATAATAATTTTGCTAAAAAGTGAATTGTATTATAAAAACTAATGAAATAAAGAATAAAGCACCATTATATGATACCTTGCCAGTATAAATCAATCGCGTGCGGGATTACCGTTCATTTAAGTCTATCCAAAAAAAAGGTTTAGGGTAATATATTTTATTGGCACTAAAAAAATAATGGAAACCAATCATAAACGGAATGGAACATACTTATTACCAGTTTATCGTGCAGTGCGTCAACTTTGCAGTCGAGGTGCGCAGTGGACCCAACCAAGGCTTCTATTTCTGGAGCGGCAGCTGCGTATATGCTGTTGCCATTGCCAGCTCTAAATAAATACATGAAAATTTATTTTTTAGAAATGTAAAAATCTCAATAGATCGGTATTAATCAATATTAATATCGATCACTAAATCGATTGATACATAAACGTATTATATTACTGACTATGTACATGAAATTGCTTCATTTTCAACGACTTCCTAAAGAAGATTCCAAATTAGCCTATATTTTTAGTGCATCATAATTAAGCGTTCATCATCACCGTACCAACCATCATCCCTCTATGGTGGGGAGAAAGGGATTGTTAATAATGGAGTTTGGCAGCCTCATTGCTAGCAATATGTCCTATTAGGTCGACCTCCACGTGGTTCCCCTTGGAAACCATTGTAGACAATTCTTGTTGAATTCGTCACGATGGGCTAACTGACCTAAATCATCCTCACCTATTATCCTTCACTGGTGCCCCACCAGTGTATACCGATAGCGCAGGCCGGAGTTACCATATCATTATCATCCATTAAAAAAAAACCGTCATCCTTTCACTGCTGAACATAGGCCTCTTCCATAAACTGCCATTATTAAGCGATATTATACTGTATTTTAAATACTGTATTGTACTGTACTGTAAATACCAATTTTGAGCTTTCTAAATAAATAGTACCTACACTTTTGTTGGTCCCATTTTAATTCAGACCAAAATGTTGCATTATTGAATATTGTTAAAATATATTATATTATGTTATTATATTATATTATATAGAATATTGATAAGACAATTCTTTGTAAAAAAATACGGTGATAATTACGAGAAAATTAGAATTGGATCAATACAAAAGTAAAACTGATTCTGTCACGATCGAAGTTAATGTTTTGTTTTGCGGAGGAAAATCCTGTTTGTTCACAATCTTTTATTAATTTCACTTGTTAGTTAGTTGGTAGTATTTGGGTCAAATCTTGCAAATAACTTTGAACCAATTTTCGTTGCCAGAATTAACGGAAATAGTATTTCTTTTTCCTCTATATTTCTTTTTTTTTCTATCTATGTATATTTCACCAGAGGGAGACTTTGTACAAAAGTCAATTGCTTGGGTACCTCTATCCCATTCGTGTTTCAACCGTGAAGCAGTTGTGTTTGCATAGCTGTGTTTCGGTTTGAAGGGTGGGATATAGCGTGAATTTACTGGGTACAGAGGAATAACACCTGAGTCCTCAGGAATGGCAACGTATGGGGGGTATCATGGATGAAACAGTATACCCTGTTATGTCCATGGTACTGCTCATGTCTATAGGCGACGGTTACCACATTTCATCAGGTGGGCCGTCAGCTTGTTTGCCATTCTAAGTTGTATAAAAAAAAAAAAAATTTATTTTTGTAATTTTTTGTGGATTATTAGCGACAAAATTAATATGAGATCAACCCTAAAAATACCGTCAAATTGAGAACTTTGAAATCGCGACAAAATATATTTAAAATCGCAGTTCGAAGAGACATACTCAAGAGGCTTTGGTGAGAATAAGCCATCTGTTTCCATGAAAGATAGATTGTAATCCTAATTGGTTCCGTGGTTTCAATCATAAACAGCTTAACTAGGTAGCTATAATTGAAGCAGTAGCTCACCTACCTAGCTTTCATTAACTAGAAGATAAGATATTGTTATAGTGTAGATACAGATTTTGTGTTAAAACACCCTAAAAGATTCAAATGTTAATAAAAGTGACGATAGCAAGGAAATATTTTTATAAAAATAATAAGAATTTATTTATCTTCCAGGTAATTCAAAAGTCAATTATTTGTTAGTATGATACTGAAAACTATGTTTTATTATATTTATTTTATACTAGTTGTTACCTGTCCATTGCTAAACATGAGCCTCCCCCTATTGAGGGGATTTTTACCAATATTTGACACGCTTGGCAGGCGGATTGGCAACCGTTGTTAGGTTTTTTTGATGTTTTAAGGTAGACGTTGCTGGTTATCATTCGACAATTAACTTCCATTAGTCGCCTCTTACGACATCTAGGGCTTAGTTATTACCTCCTTCCTTCCCCGTGGGGGACAGATAATACATTATCTGTCCCCCACGGGAAAGGAAGGAGGTAGTTCATTCTATGCCGGGACCACATGGCAATAAATTATGTTAGTATATAATTATTAATAGCTCTATCATCAGAAGGCTATTCGATTTATTCGTAAATATATACCGTTGTGAATCATATCTATTTACGCATCATTCCTTAAAAATATTTGGAGGTAGGTTGTAAGCAAAGACAAATAAAAATATTATGAATTTGTACATAAATAAACAGCGTAAAGAGTAAATTTGCTGTAAAATGTCAATATTGAAACTAATTTTACTGTTTACGTTTATAATTAACGAATTGTTCGCGGATACATTTGTATTTTTAATTACGTTTACTCTCGTTTCAGTAAATTGACGTTCGTGAATAGGAAATATCACTGTCAATTTATTTCGGTCTCAATGTCACTTTTAAAAACATTACATGATCCATTTGACTGTTTTGAGCCAGGTGATCATTTTACCTTCTACATAATTAATAATAAAAAACAAAAATCCAATCTCTCGTATTATAATGTTAAATGCAGGAGATTAAAAATTATAGATATTACAATAAAAATGTATCTATGTTTCTTAGTCCTTCCAATTTTATTCACTTCCTAGTCCTAACAAGGTAAAATATGGAACGGAATAACTACTATTTTTTGTAAGTGATGTTTAACATTTGTGATATCTGTAGAAAAGATTTGGAACTCTAAAAGACGTCAGTAAAATTGACGTCTTCTAGAGTTCCCAATTTTCTCTATTATTTCTTGAAATATTATTTTTATTTCTTGACTTTTACAGATATAAGGTAATGTAGAGGGTATCGGTTTTATACATGCACTCTCTTGTTAGGTGATTGCTTATTAGCAATGAACACTAGAGGGATATTTACTTTCTGAATAGCTTATATTATTACTCTCAAGTTGGTCTCTAATTATGTGAATGATATAAGTAACAAAATGAACTCACTTATGATTCCTATGTTGATGTGTGTTGGAATATGTGTCGAATATATAATTCAACAGCGGTGCACTCGATCCAGTTTCTCCGGGCTTGCGTCTCTTCTCAGCAAACGGTGCTAAACTTGGCACTGTTACAGTTGAAATTAACCTCACGTCACTCACAGTGACTTCGTCTGTCCTTATAACGTTTACAACTCGCCTATTTCTATTTCTCTTTTGTTCTAAACTTATATCGTTTACAACTACATTAGCACCCTCGTCTGATACACTTACATTATTTGTTCTATCATCACTATCAGTATTGTGGCAACATTCAACATTTCTATCTGGAGCTGTAGTACTTAATTCGAAGTTAAAATTATGTATAAGATTAAGACTAGAATAATTAATGTTATTGACAGTTTGATTATGTAAGTCGGAGTTGGCGTAAAGTATTTGATAGATTTTATTCACAGTGGGCTGTGTTCCAATTTCTTGATGTTCTTCAGTTTCATTCAATAATTTTGAAACTGTGTCGGCGTCAGTTCCTAGAAAAGAAATGAGACTGTTTTATATAATGTTGAGATCTTTTTGTCTTATCTTGGGTTTCAATTTTCTGGATGAAATCTTAGTTATTTCTATTTCAGTAATGCTGCTATAATTCTGTATGATTAATTACTAGTAACTCAGCACGGCTTTGCGTAGGTAAATTGAAATTTAGAAAAAATACAAGAATATATACAAGTCTATGTTACTCTCAGATAATGTAGCTTTCAATAGGTTAACGAATTGTCAAAATTGGCTGAGTAGTTTTTGAGTTTATGTATAATGAACAAACAAACAACCAAATTTTTCATTCTTTCATTAGTATAGATTATGAATAAAATTGAAATCACTTCTAAATTAAATTATTTGAAATTATCCTATAGAATTTCATTACCAGCATAAAAAGTAAATATGATAGCATCATATTTTAAATATACTCGTATATTTTATTGTAATTCTATATTCAAAAAGCCACAGTTTACAAACTTGTATAGATTACTTATATAGAGTTTCGTTTAATTTTATTTGTATAAATGTTCCAAAATAAATTGCTATTTCCATTGAAACCACTATTTTTAATTCATACTGCTCCTCGAAATTAAATAAATTTGCGCAATTCTACACATACTCGTATATATTTTTAATTTTCCTAATAGAGAATTAAAATCTAAGCCAGCGAAGGTTTTGTACAATAAATTTTATTTGGACGTTGCTTCAGTCACGCTCTATTTAAAATATCTTGTTGAATTAAAATATAATAAATACACTTAAGGAATACGGGGTCTCTTCAGATCTTGCAATTTAATTTCTGAGTAGCGCGTTTGTGCTAATAGGAAAATATTTTTAAATGGCCCACCGTTTACAAAAGCGTTTGCACGAAGCAGTTTCTTTGAAAATAGAACTCAGAACAAACAGTTTCAAGGGACAAGGATAAATATTTCAGCTGGGAATAATAGATTTCAGAGAATTTTCCGAGATGACAATTTGAGCCTTTCCCAATAAATGTCTTCTTGATATCGAAAAAAAAACAGATGTATTTAATACTTAAGTTTGTTATGAAACATACAATGAAATATTGTTAATCTGTAAATCGAATAATATCTGCGATTACATTGCGTAATTATTTTATATAAATTGTTAATGTTTCAGTATTTTTATTTATCTTTATACCAAGACAATTTGATTCTGAGCGAATAGAATAGAGTTTTAATAGCTTACATATATACGTACATATATCTCCCTCAGATATATATTTTGATTTATCGACTTTATTAATATATGACTTTATTAATATATACATACAACACAAAAATAGCTACTTCTACATTGCTAATATTAATCTTCATATGTCTATTTTGAAGTATCCTATGCTTTATTTTAATTTCTAGGAAAAGTCTTGGTAGAAGTAGAAGTATAATAATGGGTAATTTTGGAAGGAAATTCTTCTGCAAATGCACAGCCTTTTAGGTTCTTGAATGTGAAAATTAATTACTTCTTGATAAGAAACAGTAGAATGTCCAACCGGACAATCTGGTATTCAATTGTATAATAAAGCATACATTACCTCGACAAGGCAAGGCGGAAAGCGCGGCGAGCAGGAGCGCCGCGGTGGCCGGCGCACACATTGTTCTACATCCTAGCAAACCCTGAAACAACATGAATCTTTATATCATATATATCTTAGATCATATATATAGAGTGTTTCCATAGAAATACTTCGAAAAAAGGGTCAACTTTTTCATACAATTTTGCATGATATGATATAATAGTTATGAGTGATTCCTTTAACAACAGAGATTTATGATTTTTTTTAATGCGTAGACACTAATTTCGTTATTAAATAATACGTCAAAATACATTTTATGGTTAAGTACATATTCAATATTGATAAAAAAAACGAGTCAGCAAATTTGGCAATTAGCTGACAAAAAGTTGACCCGTTTTTGAGGCTCAATGCTCTATCTGCATAAATTCAAATTCAAATTCAAATTCAAAAATCATTTATTCATGTAGGACATTTTAGCCGCTTATGAACGTCAAATTTGTACATTATAATTTTATAATACCGTCCAGTTCGGTATATAGATCCAATTGAGAAGAACTGGGACAATTGAATTACTTTTTTTTTTTAAAGCCAGTTTATTTACAATGTATATTTATATAGGTGTCTATGTCTAACATTAAATGAAAATTCAGTGCATGAACAACTATTGCCATGCACACTCGTCATTCAAGTAATCGTTTAGTGAGTAATAGGCTTTGCTCAGTAAATATGATTTAACAGATGTTTTGAATTTATTTAAGGGTAATTCCAACATATCCTTTGGTATCTTATTGTAAATTTTTATACCTATTCCCATAAAAGACCTATTAACTTTTTCTAAACGATACTTGGGGACAGCAAGTTTGTCTTTAAATCTAGTATTAATATTATGAATATTGCTGTTTTTTGGAAATAAGTCAAGATTTTTATGAACATATAGAATATTTGAATATATAAATTGAGAAGCAACGGTGAGAATATTTGCCTCTTTGAATTTCTCTCTTAATGAGTCACGACTCTTCATACAGTACATCGCTCGAACGGCACGTTTTTGTAATATGAATATATTCTTAATATCTGCCGCTTTTCCCCATAGTAATATTCCATAAGAGAGTAAACTATGAAAATAACTAAAATAGACTAATCTAGCAGTATCAGTATCAGTGTACTGTCTAACTTTACGCACGGCAAAAGCTGCTGAACTTAGTTTCGCTGCAAGGCTTTGAATTTGTGCACCCCATTGTGTTTTATTATCTAGTGTGATTCCTAGAAAGACAGTAGAGTCTATGAATTTGAGAGATTCGTCATTTAATTTAATATTGCAATTAGTATTAAAACTTTTAGATAGAAAGAAATTAACACATTTTGTTTTTTTAGCGTTTAACATAAGATTGTTAGTTGTAAACCAGTGCAGGAGACGCCGCAAAGCACTATTTACATCGTCATAATTATTAGTCATTCTATTAACTTTAAAAATCAATGAAGTATCGTCTGCAAACAATACTATGCCGCATCTATCCTGCATGGCATATGGGAATCATTAATGTAAACTAGGAATAAAAATATGATCCTTGAGGTATTTTGACCCGTGTAGCGTTGCTATACTTTCTGTATTCTATCAGATATTTTATTAAATTTAAAGCATTGTCTTTGACGCCATAAAAAGCAAGTTTTTTTAGCAATGTATTATGATCAACGCAATCAAAAGCCTTATCACAAAAAAAATCAATCCATTTTGTGCAGCAAATAAACCTGCGTCTGTAGTTACGATGGAAAAACCGAATTGACTATGGATTAAATTATTTAAATTGAAATAATTGACAAGTTGCATAAGGATTATTTTTTCAAAAATTTTATGATGGGAGTATGGATATAGGTCTATAAAACTCCTATCTCCAGATTTAAAAAGCGGTATGAATATATATATATATATATATATATATATATATATATATATATACTATCCAGTATTATATATATTATATAATCCTCTGTTTTTTTATTAAAGTTGTTTGAATATTTTCATTATTTCTACTGATGATGTATGTCTAAAGTTAAATATGATGACTTGCTAACATTGTCTGTTAGTAAAGTTTCAGCAGCAGACGGGGAAGTTTTAAGCCTGTGTCGTATAATATATTAGTAAAAAAGATTCGAATGTATGCGCGACCTCTGTGTCGGAATTTACCAATTTGTTATTAATATTTAAAGCTATTTTGCTATTTTGAAAATTAACTTTTCCAGTTTCGCTATTTATTAAAGGTCTATTATAAATGTTTATTTACATAGGTCTATTATGAAATCAAAGGTAACAATAAGTTATAATTTATATAATAAAATATTTAAAAAAAAACGACAGTTTTAACTTTTAAAGTTTTTCTTTAAAAAAAAAGTAGTGTTCAGTTTCTTATATCCTATAGTATTATTACTTGAATTTGAGTACGAATATATTTAAAAATAAAAGTCTCGTCTTGAGAAAAGCTGAGGTTAATCAAATTTGAATTAGACTGTAGCCATGTGATTAAATCGCAAAACGCCACCATTCAGTTTATTAATTTGACTAAAGTCCTGTTGTATCTTCGCTACCCTTGAGCATGACAAAAACTGAGAAAATATGACCCTGCCTAAAGCGACGAAATTTACGATGAGACGATAAAAAACGGAGCATTATAAGAACTGTGTTGCGAGATAATGAGACGAGTTGTTGATGGAGCGAAGATTACATTCAACTGACGTTAAAAATAACAACTGAATAACTACAATAAATAATAATAATTGTGTGTATTAGTTAACGATAACAAATATCATATATTTGATCATGGGAATGCTTACTAAAGTAACTTAGTAAGTGTATTGCAAAATTAGCAAATCCCAGTATTACTGCATATCGAGTACATAACACAGTTTGTTTAAAAATCCCACACTAGAAATATAGCATGTATATTCCTCGGAAATAATTACGTATGGTGGGTATCATGGGTGTGATAGTCTACCATGTAAAATCCAAGGAGTCCTAGTTACTTTTCGTTAAGTGGTGCTCCAGATGGTTACTATTTCAAATTGGTTAAAACAACATTTCTATGTAACTTTAACGACTTTAAAGCTTATCTTCCCTTTGGTCTTCGGGAGAGGGTAAGGGGGGAAGGGTTTGAGAAAGCGACTATCCTTAATAAAGACCGTACTTATAACTGGATTTCATCTTCTGTACAATTTCCCTTTTTGTCACAATTTGTATATAAATTAAGATTTGTTAACTGATTGATATCTTTTCACAATTTTCATTTACGTTTTCATTTGAAATTAAGATTGATTGTTGTCATTTCGAAGGCGAGAAGCACTCCAAACAGCCCTCTTGTGTACAGTAACATCAGTCGTGAATAAAATTATAAATTCAATTCTCTTGAACCCCCAATGTCAATATTCATCACGGCTCAATTCTGTTCTAGAAAAACAAGAGTTTGAATTAATATTTTACAGTGAGAAATTTAGTTTGAGTGGTTTCATAATATTCACTTACACTGGGTAAGTAATAAGCAATATCGAAATATTGCTAAAGTTAATATTATTTTTCGTAATGGATTACAATAGAATCTATCTGCGATATTGATTTACCTGGCAGGGCACCAGAGAGAGGTGACAAGTGAGGACACAGTCGCATCAATTGGCACATCCGATGAATTATGATTGTCCCCCAAGGGAACTGTTAAGAGATGGATTTGTATGTTGTTAGTAGATTTTTTTGCGGATCAAAATCTTCCATTAATTTCTAAGTTTTATTTTTTAAGCTTAATTTTTTTATTAATTCCATATGTGATTATATCTTTTTGTATGTAATACAATTTTATACTATTAGTAACGACGAAAAAGGTAAACAAGCTAACTCGTTTTCTGGAAAATAGTAATATTATATATATATATATAATACAATTGTATCGTTATATTTATTATTTATGTCTTGCTTATTTCCTATATTGTATAATGTGAATAAATATACTCATTCATTCATACATAATAATTACCAATTTAAATATAATAAAAAGTAAAAAATTATAAATATTACCCAATTATTATATTTAAGTGAATAATATCGAAAGTTTGTAGCAGTTAGAGCAAAATAAATCTTGAAGGTTTTATTATTCCTGTATATTATACCTATCTGAAGACAATATTAACATACTAATTTGGAACTTGTTGGTAGCAAGCTGTCATCAAATTTCAGATGAAGCAACTCTTCAACCCCCGCAGCAGTGCGACCTTAATATTTTATTCAAAACATAATTCTGTTTCATAAAAGTTATCCTGTATCTCGGCAACTGCGGAACTAAGTCCAAAAGACGCATTATACCTTATTTAATCCCATTTATTCCACTACGTAATGAACCTTATCTCGCCACGTGAGCTATCCAGATACGAATTTTAAGTTTTCAAGTGGCTTTTAAGTACTCGAGAATAAATTGAATGGTATGAATTTGTTTGTGGAAATGCAAATAAATGACCAGGTTGTGGATTTCGTTATTTTGTTTTCGCGTGAGGCAACTTAGCGTTTAATTGAATCGCTTGTGGCGGTCTTAAGTGTATTTTCAACTTCGGCCTTCATCTGTTCCTGAGTTAATTTACATTTACTTTCTGTAACTGGTGTCTACTAAGTATGGTTGGTAAATATATGATAACTTCAGTGTTTTATTATTTTTAATAAAATATATCCCATTCTACTCGTTGCTTATGTTGCTTTCTATAGATGAAAGAGTTTTTTTTTAATTGGTTAAGAACTTTTTAGTCTATCCATTACAAACAATAAAAACAAATCTTCCTATTTTTAATATTAGCACAGTATAAAAACTACTAATTTACAACAAAATTATTTTAAATACCAACATGTAGCTATATTCTGTACTTTACCCGTGTTAGAATTAGTTATATGTATTTCTGATCATAGGCGTATTTAGAAGGACACCGGGTGTACTGTACCCACCTCAGAATAAATAACTGAGCTATCAGCTGCAGGCAAAAGGCGGATTAGCAACCGCAGTTAGACTTTGGAGATGTTTTAAGAGAGAGGCTGCTGCTCGTCCCACGCCCTCCTTTACTCGACTCATACTACAT